ACCTCTTGAATACAAAAATCCACTGAGGGAATTATTAAAGAAATACTTCACTAGAAGGGTAAACATGAATACATACGTTGGATTTTTATTGCCATGCTATCCAGAATTTTTATGAACATGTTTTTAAACTTAAATTGGGACACACAAACACATAAGAATGAGTATACCTGTAAAATTAGAGCAGAAGAATATTTGAAACTGGAATTATTTCAGAATCTGTGGAATGCATGCCTGTTGTTCATAAAAGAAACATCCATATGCCCAGCTACCTTGTGGTAGCCTCTAAGGATCTTCCCCTCTTGCTATTTGCCCTTGGTATATGCCCTTGCATAGATCTCTCCCACACTGAATCGGGCAGACTAGTCTCTGTGACCAACAGTACACGGTGTTAGTGTGTGATTTTCAAGCCTTGGTCAAGAAGACATTGCAACTACTGCCTGGGTTTCTTGGAGGCTTTGCTCTGGGGAAGTCCAGCTACCATGTTGTAAGGATATTCAAGCAGCTCCTTGGAGAGGCCCACATGGAGAAGAAATTGCCAACCAAATTGATAAGCCACTTTGAAAGGGATCCTGCATCCCAAATCAAGCCCCTGAATTAATAGTACTCTCAGTCAACATCTGACTGCAAGCCTGTGAGGAGCCAAGAGCCAGAAAAACCCAACGGAGCCACTCCCACATTAATGACCTGCAGAAACTAAGAAAGAATGAGTAACTGAAGTGTTCAAAGCAACTTAGCATTGGAATGATTTGTTGTGCAGCAGCAAATAACTAATACATACTACATATTTATTTGTCGAAATACTATGTTATCAAAAGATACTGTTTACAACTTTCCTTCTTCATTCATTTATTCTGTCAGTAAGAAATACCTTAAGAATTTCTTGGCCAGGCACAATGGCTCACGCCTGTAATCCCAGCACTTTGGAAGGCCAAGGTGGACAGATTGAGACCAGCCTGACCAACATGGAAAAACCTCGTCTTTACTAAAAGTACAAAATTGGCCAGACATGGTGGCACATGCCTATAATCCCAGCTACTTGGGAGGCTGAAACAGAACAATCACCTGAACCCGCGAGGCAGAGGTTGCCGTGAGCGGAGATCGAGCCATTGCACGCCACCTGGGCAATGAGAGCGAAACTCCGTCTCAGAAAAAAAAAAAAAAAGATTCTTGAATCATACCATGTAGTGCCATGTCTAATGCCACTGCCTATTCTTACCAGACTAAAACAGTCTCTTAGTCTTGTCACTTTGATTCTGGTTTTTCTAGAGTCCCTTCTCTACACAAGAGCCACAGTAGTCTTTATAAAGCTTATCAAGATAATATCACCCCTCCCCTGAGTAACCTCTTCAAAAGTTTCTAATTGCCCAAGAAATAAAATCTAAATTCTTTGGCCTTCAAGCCCATGCATAACCTGGCCTTTGCCTATGTTTCTAAGCTGTGTCTTCTGCTCACATTTATTATCTCACTTGTGTCTCGTTTATAAGACTGAGCAATGAGCTTAATGCATGTTTCTGGATTCAAAGAAGCCAAGCTTGCTGTACTTGTAATTCCTGCCACCTGCAGCACTAATACCCCAGATCCTTACATGCCTGACTCTCATCAGAGACTACCTACGTGTTAACCTGCTTACTTGTTCACTGTCTGTTTACACACACACACACACACACACACACACACACACACAAATGCACACCATTATTAAGTCACTGAAAGTAGGAACATTTTCTGCTTTATTTCTTGTACCTTGAACAGCATCTGGCACTTATTATGTGATTAATTTTGTAGACTGAATAAGTGTAAAAATATACATAAATAAGAGCAAGAACTAAAACAGAACATATAGATAAAAATAACTGAGATAAATGGAGGAAATGTGTTTTATTTTCAAATTTGTTTTTAATATCATTGTTATATATTTTTTAAACCCTCATATGCAAATAATTACCTATGTAAAGTAGAATTAAAAAACTAGTTTAAAAAAACTACTTGTAGTTACCTTCTGGGGCTGCTAAGGGTTTTTTCTTCTCATGTTGCCTTATCTTTTGACTTTCTAGATCTTATTTAAGACTCTTCATTGAGAATTTTCTAGAAGACCTGAAACTGAAAATGGTCCTCACTACCTAGCTTGTATAACTCACTGCACTTCACTCTGATGGACATTTTCCTAAGAGATAAACGTTCTGAATTTGCCACTGGGAGCCCCTTGCAAATGAATCACGGCTGAACCAGTTGTGACATCTGACGCTCTGTCCCCAAGAGAGAAAGAAGGAATTCTCTATGCTGTTCATGTTTATGGAAATCCCTCACAAGTATTAAACCTTTGCCATTCCAGAAACATATGCCCACTCAACCCAAGATGCTTTGTTGGGTGTCGTGAGGGGAAACAAACACATTTATTTATTCAGTCAATCTTTATTGCCCTCCCCCTCAAAATGATTTGAAATTATTTGCAGTAAGAAGACATGCAAGAAGAAGGAAGAGGAAAAGGAAGAAGACACATAAAAAAAGGTGAAGAGTAAAGGGAGGAAAAGAAGAAGAAAAATTTGAGGACTACTAAAATGTCAACAGTACTAGAAAATTGTGGCCAGGTAGAAGAATAACACCATAAGAAACAGTATCTTGACGTTGGTAATCCTTGAAGATAAATGTCAAACTCATCTCCGTTTGTGAGATCTGATTCCTGCCCTCTGAAAGCTTATATTAGCAGAGGAATTAAGACATGGACATAAATAATCAAAGGGGTGAAAGAAAACCTTGATCCTAACTACAATGGAACACTGTGAGTGTATATGTGGCTCTTGAATGGTACAGGACTGCCTTGTAAGGATTCTGACTATTGTGTAAGAGCCTTGTAAGAATTCTGACTATTATGTGAATTCCACAACCACTGTCACCAAACATGCCTGTGGAAACATACTCTGATGACACAAGTGTGCCTTACAAGCCGGACCACAAAGGAGAGGCAGTGAGGTGGGTGAGTCAGAGTCCCAGCTCTGCCACCAACCAGCTACATGACCTTTGTCGAGTGCCTTAACGTTAGTTTCTCATCTGTAAAATGCAGATGATAGGCTGCTCGCTGTGGCTCACACCTTTAATCCCAGTACTTTGGGAGGCCAAGGTAGGCAGACGGCTTGAGCCCAGGAGTTCAAGACCAATCTTGGCAATATAGTGAGACCCTGTCACTATTTTTAAATAATACAGTTTTTTGGGGGTTTTTTTTGAGACAGAGTCTTGTTCTGTCACTCAGGCTGGAGTGCAGTGATGTGATCTCAGCTCACTGCAAACTGTACCTCCTAGGTTCAAGCGATTCTTCTGCCTCAGCCTCTGGAGTAGCTGGAACTACAGGTGTGCACCACCACACCTGGCTAATTTTTGTATTTTTAGTAGAAACAGGGTTTTATCATATGGCCAGGCTGGTCTCGAACTCCTGACCTCGTGATCCACCCATGTTAGCCTCCCAAAGTGCTGGGATTACAGGAGCGAGCCACCGTACCTGGCCATAATTTTTTAAATAACAATAAAATGGGGAATGATAATCATACTGGACTTGGAACATTATTGTACGTAAGGAAGAAATGAGTTAATGCAGAATATGTACTTAGAACAGCATCATAGGACACAGCAACCCCTCCGACAGCACTGGAATCTCCACGTGGGGAAAAAAGTGACCAAGTTAATTGCTTACCAATTTGAGCAATTAAATTGCTAGCAATGAAACTTCACACTAAGTTTAGCAATTCCCTTTAGGGGATGGATTTTTAGTGAGGACACGAGTGTCATATATGTGTTTTCCATTCAGCCATTTAGCCTGTACTTCTAAAATAAAGCAGTGAAGGTATTTCGGGAGATTTTGAATTATGAATCTAGAAAGGATCTGAGATGTCCACCACTGAGCCCTTGTGTAGATAAGCAAATTGAAGACGGACAGAAATGGCCAATGTTCCATAATAGTGCAAAGCTAGAACCCAGGATGGACTCTTGATTCTTGGTTCTTTGCTCTTTCCACGAGAAGGTATGGACTAGACTGGGACTGATTATTGAACACTCTTCACTTGCCAGTTACCTTGAAGGCATTTTAATTGATGGGAACTTTACTAAATAAATATGCATTGTGCTTCTACTATGGCAGGAACTATGCTGGGTGCTGGGGATAAATTAATGAGCAACAGGGATCTGATTCTAATATTTCTGTAGATCTCACTACAGAAGTGGAGGAGGCAGACATTCATCAAATGATCACATAAATAGATGCCAATGGAAATAACTAAAAAGTCTACGAAGTCTTATGAACACATTTCATAGAATTTGACCCACTAGAAGAAGTCAGGGGAGGCTTCCTTTAGGGAATGATGTTTAAGCCTAAATCTGAATGATCAGTAGGAACTGGCTGGGCAAGGTTGAGGGAAGCAGAGAAAAGATGGATACTCCAGACTGAGGAATCACCAAAAGTCCTGTGACAGATGGGAGAACAGAATACCAGGGTGGCTGGAGTACTGGAAGTGGAGGGAAAAGGGTGTACAATGAAATAAGCTTAAGAGAAGTAGGCAGGGGTCAGCGCTATGCAGGCCTTGAAGATCACATTTGAGATTTCGGTTTTCATATTAAAAGCAGGAAGCTATTAGAGGGTTTCATTCAGGGGGGGTCTGTGATCAAAATCTGCCTCTTAAAAGATTAGCATGCTGTAGGGTGCTAACTGAGAGATACCAAGAGTAGGCCCTGGGAGAAGGTTAGAGTGGAGACGATGTACATTGAAAGGATTGGAAGGATTTGAAACGTGGAGGTGTTATCACTATAACTTGGTGATAGGTTATTCTAGAGGGGCTGAGGAGGCTGCCATTCAAGGTGTCTGTTTAATAGAATCAGATGATTAGGGAGAGGGGATCATTCACTAGGAGAGGAGATACTGAAAGAGAACTGCAGATTTAAGGGGAGCAGAGGGAAAAAGGACACTAACCACAGCACAAAATTTGGGGAAATGTTAAAACAGACTTCAAATTCAATTTAGGTTTTTTAGTATTTTATTATGGCACACAGGGTAGAGTATGGTACAGTGTTCTTATTTCAACGAAGCAATTCTCAGAGCATCCAGCGATTTTCATTTGGCTAAAGTTACTTTTGCATGTAGCCTGCATCTGTTTGAGACTTGCCATGTACATCATCCCATGTCTAGTAAGCATAAATATGAAAAGCTTGGTTTCTGAGGAGATGCCTCCTCTTTACAGAAGCCAATACATTGAGAGCATTCATAGTTCCAGTCCATACCATCATGGCAAAGAAACAGTTTATCTATTTGCATAGTAACACATATTTAACTAGAAATAGGTGGTACAAAGGGATTAAGTAACTTTAAATGGAGACCACTTTGGTTTCAGGTTAAATCCATAACTTACAAAGATTGTCTAAAAAACAAATATTGAATGAAATTAGCTGACAAAGCAATTGTTTCAGAATAAAGGCAGAACAGCCGATAATAATATCTATATTTATTCCACATCAAATGCAAGTGCAAGAGCGTTCATAACTTTATGATGGACAGAGGACATATGGGGTGTGTATTTGATGCAATGTCCAACCAGTCAAGCTATCATTGAAATCCAAGTATTTTCCAAGAGTCATGCAGAGCAATGTCAATGTAACATACAAGCATATTACCTCCCCCCTTAAGTGACTCATAATTTCATTACCTGTATCTGTAGTTTTTAAAGGTTTCAAAGTGTGTGGGATTAAATGCTATTTACTTGAGGAAACAGAATTACGCTTAACAACATACTAAATCATGAGCTCAGAATTGCAGGCAATATGTTTGCAGTGGAGTGGCAAATAACCTTTGATAGTCCCTCCTCCTGAAATTATATATAGATAAGTCATTCCTTCTGATTTTACCATGTTCTCAGGTTTCAACCTCTGCCCATGATATTTAGACTATATTTTAAAATACAGTTATAGGGATGAATGTATGGGATTCATATTCTATCCATATTGCATTATGACATATCAGTTTGAAATGACCTGTTTATCCTGGTTCCATGGTGTAATGGTTAGCACTCTGGACTCTGAAATGACCTATTTACCATAACGAGTATATCTGTCAAATATTTTCACAATCGCTCCCTAGGAAGCCATTCCAAAATCTAACACAATATGTGCTATGGGGCAAAGTCTATTGTTATTTATAGACTTTCCCATTTACTCATGTTTATTATCAGTAACATTTTTGAGGGGAGAGATTTTATGAGTAGTTATGACCTAACTATATCCCTCGGAATTTCCAATGAGGGAACAAAAAGAAAAGTATTGGTAATTGTTAAAATTTTGAGTTCTTAAAAAAATTGGAGGTCAATAGTCCACTGGCATATGCTTTATACCAGTGCCATCTTTAAGGTATTTTAATTAATTAACAACCACAGCAAAAAATACACCATTCGGTATAACTTTATTTACTATTTATTGCACATAACTCAAGGTCTTTAACTGCTAACCACCAAAGGTTCAAAGGACTATTTTTCCACGAAGTTTAACATTAACATTAGTGAATTTATTTACTCGTGGTGTTTTTTATTGTAAACATCTGAATGATTCACAATGCCATAATTCCTGAACTCATAAGCGTGGACCATGCACAGGCTGGCAGCAAGCCAGAAAGCCACTCTGCAAGCAAACAGATACTCTGCATAAAGAGGAAATTCATAGCACAACATTGAATGTCCAACCTAAGTCATCTCAGAATTATACATATATTGACTTTTTAATTCACATAGGATCTGGAACTCAACTGGTTGATCGGTTGGTGATGGGGTTGACCTGATTTCGGGAGAATTGTTCCTGAAATAATTAAGGAAATGGGGGTTCAATCTTTCTTCTTAGTTGCTTGTTCCTCCCCAGAACCTTCAACTTTCTTCTCCTCTTCTTCAGCTTCTTTGGTTTCCTCTCCTTCTTCAACTTCACCTCCTTCTTCTTCCTTTGCTTCTTCAGACTCTTCCTTGGCAGCTTGAACATAAAAAGAAAGTGTACAAAATCCAAATCCTAGGTAAGTCCAGTCAAAACATGTCTGCTAAGGTTTAATCTGTAAACACAGATAAAACCGTCAGAATGCTCACCAAAGCCTCCCAGCTCCACTCTCTCCAAAAGCACATGTAACAGACAACACTTGCCATGAATAATCTGCTACTGAACACATATTTAAATAGAATGAGACCACTTCTAGGCATGGAAAGCTCTGCTCCTCCCAAAGATTTAACCTCACTATTTTTTTATGTGTCTGGTATCTATTTTTGTTCTTTAGGACGCCAAGCTGATGTGTTAAATGAATATATTTTAAAATGAAATTTTTGACCAATTGACCAATGAGGTCAATTTTGACCTCATTCAGAGTAGGTGCTTAGGAAAGGTTTGTTGAACAAGCAGAAAAATTATTTATGATTCTAAAATCATATATGAATAAATAAGCGAGGCTTCATTTGTCTTATCCACCTCCTAACAAATAGCCACTCCCAGTTTGCACTTGAAGTTGCAGGGGTTTGTTTCTTATCATACCTTCTTCCTCTTCGGCTGCCTCCTCTTCCTCAGCCTCTTCCTTGTCCTTCTCCTCCTCCTCAGCTTCTCCTTCAGAGGGAGGCTCATCCTTGGCTTCCTCAGCCTTAGCAGCCTCAATGGTTTCCTCCACTTCAATCTGCTCCTCTTGGACATGGCTCGTGTAGTAGGAAGGGAAGGAGCGGGTGGACATCAGATAGGAGCTGGTCTGTAAACCGCCATAGGCAGATCGGCCAAAGACCTGGGAGCTCTGGGAGTAGCCACTGGTTATGCTTCCCACGCTGGTGAAACTGAGCCGGGTCTCCTCGCCTTCCAAGAGTTTCCTGGGGATGCAGATGGAAGGTGAGGTTAAAAGAAACTTGTGGTTCACAACTTGCTCTGGGCACCCTAAAGGCAAAGGGAAGCAGGAGCAGGGCTGGGATTTATCAAAACTTAATGCCTGCGGATTTTGTGATGGAGACCAGAAAGCAGTAACAACAACAACAGAAACACATTAAATCGTCCTATCAGATTTAAAATGTAACGGGAAGCTGAAAACAAGACTCCTAATTACAGGGTTAAATTCTTATATGTCTAAATACTTTCTTGGAAGAAGCCAAAAACTAACATTTCATTATTTCAAAGGACTATTCTTGAAGGTTTCTGATCCAACATAACTTTAAATGGGATCTGATTTTCTTCCTAAGGTTTAATGGCTGCTGCTTCTGCCCCTCTATTTTCACCTGTAAGCTGCAATCTCAATATCCAAAGCCATCTTCACGTTGAGGAGGTCTTGGTATTCTTTTAGGTATCGTGCCATTTCACTCTTTGTGGTCCTCAATTCATTTTCTAATTTGTTGATCGTGTCCTGTTTGAAGACAAAAACAAAACAAAACAAAAAATCCAAGCATAAATATCTTCTATTATTTTACTGTAGTGTAGTTGTAGAGGCCTAATTTCAATTAAAATCAAGGTGCACACCTTTGATAAAATCCCACCTACAATAATTTCCTGTATCTTTTAAAAAACCTTCTTGCCTAAAATACCCAAGTTCATGAAGCCTGAGATGAAAAACAAAATGGAAGAAAATTCTTTTCTTCTATTTCTTTACTTAATACAGCTTAATGATCATCAGAAAATGTCTGCAAGGAAACTAAGATGATAGAAAAACTGTTTCTCACTCACTGATTAAATCTTCTTTAGCTGGGTTACATGCCAAGAAACTAATGCCTTTATAGAATAAAATAGCCAGATGAGAAAAAATTATTTTCTCTAAAATATTTCCTATGTATCTAAATCATTTTTCTACTCCCCAGAAGAAAAAAAAAAAAATCTACTCCCCAGAAGATGGAGATCTTTTAAAATGGAGATCTTTTTAAATTTTACTTTTTCTACTCCCCAGAAGATGGACAGGTTTTAAATAGAAATGTTGTACAAAGAAAAAGAAAAGAGTAAAAAGAAATGAACATTACTACTTAACTACCTAAAACAATGTTAACTATTTTCCTGTCTACCTACTAAATAAAGGATGGGAGTGGTTGGTATAACTAGTCATAAAGCATGCGGGTCACAGTAACCTTTCAGAATTAATTGGGAGTTATTCACTCTACTATTTATTAACCAGATGATCTGATAGTTGCTGCAAAGTAACTGGTGGTTAATGCAGGTCAGTAGAGAGCAGGCCAGAGGCAACGCCCAGTTCCCACGTCTTCCCCTCCCCCACCCAACACGGGCTGGGCAGCTTTAATGCGGAACTCGGGTGCAGCCGCACGGAGCACATTCCCAGACTACAGTGGCGCCCTCACTCAGGCCCTCCAAGTGCCCCACCCCTCCCACACAGTCGCCCAGGAGCCAAGCCTTATCCCCAAGAGCTGCCAGCAGCCGCACCATCCCTGGTCTCCACTTTCTGGGCCCACCAGCTCTCCCCAGTGCTCGAGTCCCCCGCCCCCCTGTGTTTCGGGCGGTGCCGCACCTGCATAGCGCTGATGTCTGCGTTCTGCTTGTCCTCCAGCTCCTGCAGCTGCTTCTCCAGCGCTTCGTTCATGCCCCGGCATGCTTCGATCTCTAGGGTCTTGGCCTTGAGCAGGCGGCGGCTCTCGGACACCTCGTCCTTGGCGGCGCGCACTGCGTCGGTGTTCTTGGCGGCGCTCTCGGTCAGCACGGTGAAGCGGCTCTTGAACCACTCCTCAGCGTTCTGCATGTTCTTGGCGGCCAGCTTCTCGTACTGAGCGCGGATGTCCTTGAGCGCGGCGGAGAGGTCGGGCTTGGTGGACACGTCCATCTCCACGGAGATCTGCGCGTACTGGATCTGCGCCTGCAGCTCGGCGATCTCCTCTTCGTGCACTTTCTTCAGAAAAGCGATTTCGTCCATCAGGCTGTCGATGCGCTTTTCGAGCTCCGCGCGGGCGAGCGCCGCCTCGTCTGCGCCTTTGCGCGCTTCCATCAGCCGGCCCTCGGCGTCCTCGCGGCTCAGCACCTCCTCTTCATAGCGCGCCTGCAGGTTGCGCAGGGTCTCCTCGAGCCCTTCGCGCTCGCCCTGGAGCGCCTGCTTCTCGTTGGTGGCGTCTTCCGCCGCCAGGCGCAGGTCGCGGATCTCCTGCTCGTACAGCGCCCGGAAGCGGGACGGCTCCGAGTGCTTCTGGCGCAGCACCAGCAGCTCCGCTTCCAGGACCTTGTTCTGCTGCTCCAGCTCGTGCACGCGCTCGATGAAGCTGGCGAAGCGGTCGTTGAGGTCCTGGAGCTGCGCCTTCTCCTGCGTGCGGATCGACTTGAGGTCGTTGCTGATGGCGGCTACCTGGCTCAGATCGAGGTTCTCCAGGCTGTGCATCAACGAGCCGGAGCCGGACGAGTAGCTGCGGCGCACGGACAGCGAGGAAGAAACCGGCGCCGAGTAGCTGGAGTAAGCGGAGCGCGCGGTGCTGTAGCCGCTGCGCACGCTAGAGATGTGCACCCGGGGCGTCTCCACGTAGCGCCGCTTGTAGGAGGTCGAGTAGTACGGCTCGAAGCTGAAGGAACTCATGGTGGCGGCCGGTGGCTCCCCGGCCCGCGGTGGCGGTGGGAGCCTGGAGAGAGAGGACAGGGGAGAGAGGGAAGGGGGAGAATGGATGGCTGTGTGCGGCTCGGCGCTGTCCTGCCACCCCTATTTATACGCCGGGAGGATCCTGACGCAGCCTGCGATCGATCACAGCGCGCCGGCCAGTGGGGGCAGCGCGCTGCTGCAGCCAAGGCGAGGATTCTGCGCAAAAGGGAAGGCGGGGGCGAGCGGCGGGCCGAGGAGCTGCGGCGCTCGTCCTTTACACTCTGCTCAGAGGCCCCTGATTTTCTCTGAGATCCCATGCACCCTCATTTCCCTTCTGTATCCACCCACGCACCCCCTCCTATCCTGCACCGCCCAGACCCCTTATCACTTGGATCTTTAAGTGTCCCCAAAACAGGTTCTTGCTCTCTTTTGACACCCTGGTTTTCCGTATCCCGGTACCTCGTATGTAGACACCCTGCCGCCCCCACTCCCACCCCCAACTCGCCCTTTTCCCACCAGGGACCTCCTTAATGATCCCCCTTGGTGTTTATGGTGACGGTGCCGCTAGGGGATTTTAGGTACAAATAAATAGGTTAGGTTGTGTGTCTGCACTATGTATGCAGAAGAGTTTTAATTTCTTTCTAGCTATTTCTGGCACTTTCTGCAATTCATCTTCCTTTTTCCTCGTTGTTTTTCTTTTTCTTTAATGCGCTGCTTCTCAACACATAGGGAATGTGCGGGCGCGCGCGCGCGCGCACACACACACACACACACACACACACTCGTGAAACTGCGGCACTACTGCAGGTGTTGGTTTAGCATTTCCAAACCTTTAGAGCAGTTGATCTGACTGTTAGTGTTTCTAGATTTTCACATTTCTTTACTGGGAATGAAGCCGCGGATGCTTTTAACGTGTTTCAGTGTGTGGGTGGCGAAGAGCAGAGAATGAGTTGGAAACTAACACGGAGATTGACTTGCTGAGGCTGCTGCGCGCTAGGCAGCGGGGAGCTTCAAGCTGCCTGGACTCTCACCAAACTAAATTCCTGCTTGATACCACCAACCGCAGCACATTTACCGCCCGCTTCCCTCTTTTTACACATGTGTAGCCACAACCTGATGATTCAACAAGCCTTGCAAGTGGTTGATTTTCAGGGAAGCTGCTGCAGCCAGCCGGGAGCGCTGGGCGTGGTCTCTGGGGAGGAGAACTCGGCACCCAGCCTTCTTTAGGAAAGGATAGAAAATAGCCCAGTGATTCTTCCCCGATACATTGTAATAACCCGAAAGCAGATGCAGTCAGGAATCCATGGGTTTCCTTCAGGAAGCACCCAGACACCCGAAACTCGCGCACGCCGTAGCGCACGTGGACACAGTCCTGCGGTTTGCAGGATATTTTCACACGCGTGATGTTAGGAGTCTCCACGGATTCATGAAGGGATTGCAGATATTTCCGTGAAATACCTAAGATTTATGTGAGCAAGCATTTAGTTTTTGTTTTATTTGTATATTACAGCATTTGATGTGCCACTTACGGTTTTTTTAAGAGGCAAACTAAGGGAGAATATGGTAACTATTTTCAAATGGAGAAGCCGGAATGGCTTTTCCTGTGATACTCCGAGGGTGAACTATTTGCAGCGGTGCAGTTGTTTCCGGAGACACTTAACTCCTCTCCCGAGGAAAGGCTGGGATGAGGCTTATCCTCTGAGGTCCGTTCTGACCCCAAACCTGTGATTGTGATAGCCCACCGTCTTCATGATAGAAAGACTGCAGCAGATAATTTTCCTCGGGTTTCTAAACTATGTTTGTTGTCGCAAATAATGCAAATTCAGAAACATTGAAATTAGTCGTTTAAATCTATCAAGACTAAGTGATCTCAGAGGACCATCCCTGCCCGGATATTCTACATTTCAAGCCTAAGGTCATGAGACTGTCCTGAATATTGCTTGTCCCTGGCAGACTTGATAAAGTACCTACTCCTCTGTTGACTTTTCATAGCCTACCTGTCCTTGGTCTTTTCACTCAAGAAATTCAAGAGTGGGATAGGCTTCTGTGGGGACGGGGGGTGGAGCAAGAACCTGGATAAGCCATAGAGTTGTCTCCTCCCAATTACCCCTATGTTGTTGAAGCGTGGGAGAATGGATTATTTTGTTAACCTGATCCATGCAAACCACACTGTTTCACATTGAGTGTGTGTGAGTCTGGACACAACACACTCTCAGGTATTTACGAATTCATTTCCTTTGTGCCAGCTCTCTTTCCCGGGAGCTTCAGGTCACCCTCAGATCTTAAGTCCATCAGCTTTTTTTTTTTTTCTTTTTTCCACGGCTCCTCCCTGAAGCGTTTGACTGCAGAGAAGGCTGCCTAGAAAGGAGAGGGGCGGCGGGCGCTGCAGGGGATGCTTCGGAGAGAAGAAACCAGTGGGGCAACTGCTGCCTGCTGTCCCTTGGGTAGCCAGAAAAAAGAGGAATACAGGAGCAGAGGGTGAGAATGGGACCCTTTCCTGTGCTGAATCTGGCCCGCAGAGTGGGGGAAGGGGCAGATCCGCTGCGTGTAGGCATGTCGATCTGTGACCTTTTTTAATAGCTCCTGGCCTGGCCACCTCATACTCCACTTGCTTTCCTGGGCTCCTGAACCCAACCTGGGTCTAGGTTTTGATTCTTCTACCTTCAGCCTTCCTCTGCCAGGTGCCTGCCTCTTCTTTAATATTCTGTCCAGTCATCCTCCTTTTTGAATTCTCTTCCCAGCATTTTGCTCTAAAAGCCCACATGGCGTTGCTTTGTGTGGCAAAGCAAAGTGAGCAACTTTAGAAAACCTATTTAAGAAAATACATATGTTGACTCTGCCTTCCCCTCACCATCATGTTTCTGGTTAGTGCTGTTTGTAGTAGAGTCGCTATCTCTTTAGAAGGAGGCTTTTGGGTCTTGCCACACCCTTATGCATTTATTTCCCTTTAAACATCCTCTGCTAACCTGAACTTAGTTGAGGGCTGTCAACAAAACATGCTGCTAGGAGATTAAAAATATAGAATTATGTGGATGACCCCTTTAACAGAAATCCTACCACTCTGGTTATCCCTAATACCTCTGTAACCCTCCAAAGAACTGTCTGAGGTCATTTAGTTAAAAAGTAAATATCTTCACATTAACATGAAACTCATAAGGTATGTTTCCTTTAAAACCACTGAAAATGTTTTACTTCTTCTCCAGTGCCAGCAGAGTGTGAAAGCTTCAGATAGATGGGACCCGGTGACTGATGACTTTTCATTTTATTATTCTCAAGCCATATGGGACAGCAGGTTCTATATTAGCATCTGTTTTGAAAAACTCAGCCTTAGCGTAGGGCCTATGAAAAGTCTCAGTCCAGGGGTCAGGAGAGCCAAGTTCTCCTACCACCAATAAGCTCTGGCATCAGTCCTGGAGTAGAATGGCAGATGAATCTCCATCCATCTCACCATCAGGTAGATACATCAGTGTCACCAAAGCTGGCATCAGTATGTGGATGCAAGGAAACATAGTAAATAAACACATGCAAGATATCTACCATATGACAGGCATTTGCTATCTCGTACTGAATAATGACAAAATCACCTGGAGATGGTTACTGTTATTCAGAGCAAACAGCTGAGGCCCAGAGGAGTAAGTAATTTGCCAACTCACACAGCTCCTTCAAACCTAAGCTCTACCTGCATCCAGATTGAGGGTTCTACTCATTCCATAAGCTGCAGTCTTTCGCATTTACTGCTTCCTTATGTCTGTATGGAATTTGTTGAGTGATGTCTGCTGTCTGCAGAGTTTAGCGTGCATATCAAAAACCTCTCCTCCTTTGGGGACACTAATTTGAACTCCTCTGTACCATGAGGAAACCGTTAATGAGCATGGTCCAGTTGGACAGCTAGTGGCAGCAAAAAAACGACATGATTCTTGTAGGTTTCTCGAATATCCCAATGTGAAATAAAATGGGTGTGGCCAGTGGAACATGGTACATAACTGGCATTGTAACATTTTAGATACAAATCTAAACATCAATTTAGAAAACATCCTTTTAGGAATTAATAATCTAAAATGAAAATTAGCTTACCTAATTCTTTAACCACACCACGACTTTCACTTTTTTTCTAATTATAGTATCTTCATTTTCCACCCTTGTAAATGGGTTTTCTTTTAAAAGGTGACCTTAAACATTGCTCTAAGGAATAAAAGAAAAAAATACTGGCACTGAACACCTCATTATTGGAGGTAGCAATGCTTTCTGCAAGTCTTTAACTTTCTCAAAAACAACGTGAATAAAGTCAACAGAAATGTATGGCTTGTTGACGCCACAATGATCTTTCATCTCTGTTTCTTGTAGCAAGTTTATTTCTTTATATATTTTGCTCACCACAGGAATCATGCATGAATCTCTTTCATCTCTTGGGAAATACGTTTGTTTGAAAAAAAAACCTTTCCCATTTTAATATCAAGAATGCCTATCTTACAGCACCACATTTTGAAATGATGCATCATAAAGCATGCTACTTGGCTATATAAAATTTAGATTGCAGCAGGAAGGAGAGTGTCATTTGAATAGATTAAGGATGCAAAGCACGTTTATATTCAGAACACATGCAGTATGAGAAATGATGGGAACTCAGTGCTGTCCAAGCAGAAATGATGGTGATAGGTTCAAACCCCTAAATGCTCGCTCCAGAAAACTAGCCAAGGTAATGTGTTTTCTTCCCAGAGGCCTGCTCTACTATGCCTTGTCCTTAATCACAGTCACCAGACTCAGAGGTAAGAGGGCTGCACTGGGGATAGCCATTTCAGGCAGGTCACAGGGATATCGGTCAGAGCCGACGATACTCACCCTGTTTGTTCAGTTGTGCTTTCCCGACTGCAAGGAAATACATGCTGCTTCTACAATGTGGGCACTAACCAGCTACAGAAAAAAAAAATATTCCACACGGCTCCTGAATTTCTTTGCTGACCTTTACAGTAGTTTTTAATAAATCAATGGGAAGAATGTGAGGTTTAATGTTTTCAAAGACAGAGGATAAGCATTTCCATCTGCAAGAGACAAAGCTCCGAGGCTGGCTCTTTCACAGCACTTCTGGATGCTGTCCAGGGCAGGAGTTCACTTTCTCGCCAGTACTTCACTGCTGCATGAATGCAGCAAAGCCTGCAGAATGGCATATGGGCGGATCCCTGGATTCCTACAGTAAAGCAGGCAGGCTTCTGAAGCCAGGATATGTAACACCGGTGTTTGGTAAGTTGAACATGTAAAAGACTCTCCGGATAGGAAAAGCAAAACTTGATTGTGTCTAAATGGCTTGTGATTGATTATTTTACTTAAATGTTCATTCATCCATTGAGTCGCCAAATGTCGACTG